TTTATGACGGCAAGCATTGATCACGGCTACTGAATTTTAACATCTTACATCGCTCCAAACCAAAACATTCATCCACACCACCTCGTTGTTCAGCCTTCCATAACAGCATGATTTTCAAGGCATTTTCTGCCTCGCACAATCACTATATGAAACAAGCTGCCGCCAGCAGTCTTTCGTAACCGTTACGACCTGAGAACTTTGAAGAAGAGAGCATATTGCAAATCCAAAAAAGGCAAAGCCTTGTGATTTGGACGGTGGTGATCACTTTCTATCATGTCTAGCCTGCCCATTTGGCAATAAAAAAGAGAACTGTGATTAGACTCGAACACTTAAAACTGTAACCTCGTTAGGATACTCACATTATAAATATCATATATTATATAGTGATATTTTAAATATTTTAGATATACACAATTTTACTAATTCAAACGAAAATTTTGCTAATTGCTAGTTGAAAACTAAATATTTTATTCTTGAATCGTGTTTAACAATTTGCAAATAACTAATCACGGTCCTCTAGTCGATAATTTTAAACAGTTGCTGAGTAATACAGTTTGCCTAGGACCGTTTGACAGTTTGCACAGCTTTGGACGTAAATAAGAGTAGGTAGGAGAATACTTAGTAATAAATATATAGTTCTCAGATAGGTATTGTCTGTAATATACAATTACGGGGACACAAGGGAACAATTACAGCAGAAATTTCGTTAGTAAAACCTAAAATAAAGAAAATTTCCACTTAGTTTTGTAATGACATTTTATTTCAATTCAGCGATGTTTACCTCTTCTCTTGTTCGGAGTAGGCTTGCTTCACTGGAATCCGATCCCGAGTCAATGCCGGTTACAGTCGGCTCAATGTGTAACAATGCATTCGCAATAAATTATCATCTATTACGTGCAGTAACTCATCGTCAAAGCATTCATAAGCTGGCTCGTAAACATTTTATTATGAAAAATGTCTGGACACTGGACGGAAGAATATGTAATAATCTCCCTGATGGTAACGGTAAGAATATTTCTAAAGAAGAAGATTTCAGTGCTCTTGTTGTTGCATGGTTTCCTGCTGTTGGTTCAAATTGTTAATAGTCCAACTAAGGATGAGTCTTCCGTCTGAAGCACCTCTAAACACAGAGTTGCCTGAAAGAATTGTGAACGTGGAAGATAGTGTAATCGTAAAATTCAGACAGATACGGACAGATGTTTACATTAAAATATCACTTTATATACCACATTCATGGTTTTGACTTCTGGGGCTTCTTTTATATGTATAAACGGTCCGTATTAATAATCTTGAGCACGCCACGTACAATTGGCCGTGGTGAACGTGATGATCTGTCCCTGATACTTAACATCACGAAGCAAGCGGCTGCTGGAAATTATATACGCTTGAATTAGAATTTGAAGTTGTTATAAATCAGTTTAATTTAAAAAAAAACAATTCCCTTCCGGTAAGTTAAGCGGGAAGTCGATGGATGCAGGTGGCTCAGGATCGTACTTCGTGGCAGTCTATGGGGGAGGCCTTTGTTCAGCAGTGGACTCAAACAGGCTGAAATGATGATGATGATGATGAAGTTAAGATTATACTTTGTTGTAAGGACATTTTTACGGATATAAATTGACGTGAAAAAATACCCAGATCCGAAACAATTACTGTGAGTAACACAAATATCCCGTGTGCGATTCGAACTCACGTCGAAGGTGAGTGGCATTTGCAAAATAAACATAATTTTGCCTGAGCCACACCCAGTGATTTAAAAAACTGAAAATGGAACCCGCTATTGCATAATTTTATACGGACTTTATGCGTGATTTTATGCACAGGCCGTGGCCGCACTTGCAGTAAGCGAACTTAAAAGCTCAACCGGGTAATTTGTGGGGCTGTCTTGAATAATGACACTGTTATAAGATATTTTTCATTTATTGTGGCTTGCTCATTGCTGGGATTGAGCATAAAGCGTTCACATAACCATGAATTTTCCTGATAACTGATACTGAACATAAGTTCGTTTTCGACGGATTAGACTTTACAAACATTGCCCGGAAGAATCAACGGGCCATTTTCCTCTGAAAGAATGGATGCCTTCTCCAATTTTTAACAAAACATAAAATTTCTGGGGCATGTGAACTAAGTTCGCATGTTAACTGTCAACCGCAACCTCTGTTTTTGAGGTAGATATAGATTGGATAGTAGAGAAAAAGAACGTTTCAGTGAGCCGTTTATTTCGCCGACTTAAGTCCCCCGAGTAAAGGAAGGGGGCGTCAAAAAATCTCTAGAAAACCAAGTGACGTTCCCCATTGGCCTTTCATCTCGGTGAATGTACTAAAGTCTTGGCCTCTACATGCACTCAGTCGAAATTCAGTATCAGTTATAGACTCCAATGTGCAAGATAATGAATCACGTTCCCTATCAGCACTAAGTCGTGTTTGCTTTTCTTCATTAGATTTTTGAGTTCTAATCGTTCCCATTATTTTTGCTACTCTAGTGTACTGAGACAGACTCGTCTTTCTTCGAGGCATTTTTGTTATAGATGCCAAAAGCTTGATACCTAATCTTTATTTTTTTTTAAGATCGTCTACATTCTGCCGCTAGTACTAGTCGTTGACGAGTCGCCTTCGTTCCTTGCACAGCCGGCCGAATCAGCACTGCTTTATTACTGGGATCACCGCAATTAACTTTCAAGCACAAGGAATCAAATGTCCGGACAATATTTTGTAAAATTGAAACTAGTTGCAAGAGATGTTGCGCTGCCGCCGTTCAACCGATGAATAGGGCGAATGACGTGTAGCGAACGGGAATGTTCGTTCGCTCTTCTCGCTCAATTCGATTCTTCGAATGAGGTCTTTGTCCACAAGACCACAAAAGCCGAAACATGAGGAGTGACGCATCGATTTTACCTGTTTAGCAGCTGCACCTACGGTTAATGATAAGGTGCTGCTACTGAAAAATATGGTACTACTTTATTCAATAGGAATGCCCTGTACATCTTAAAAGGGTAAAGCATACTCCCGTGGATTTCTAGAGACATTAGGGTGGCAATGGCGAGACGGGATCGGGCTTTTGTGAAGTATAAACGGGAACCGTACGTTCCCGTTTAAGCCCGAGGAGAACTGGTTACATTACAAATCGCTTAGAAACAGATGAAATCAGATGAAACGCTAAACGCCGTTACCATGAAACATCAGTAATGCCTCTAACGCTGATGTATGGAAATTTCTTCAATCTCTTGGAATAACCAAGTCCAGCCCGTCGGACCATTCCTGTTCGCTCTCTTTGGATGACATTAATTGGTTAATGTTGTTATCATTTTATTTCTACTCCATCAATGGACCCTACTATCCGCTCTCAAACAATTACTTTTATAGTATCTTCTATCGGTTATTGTGTCCTTATGTTCCAAATATTCAGTTCACACCGGTAAATCTCAATGAAGTTAAAAACAATTTACTAGCAATCAAGTCTAAAGCTGAGGGTAGCGACGAGGTTAGTAAGCAAATGATTACAATGATTATGGAGTTACCTTCATTCACCAACATAATAATTTTTCCTTTGGATTCTGGTCATTACCCATCCCTGGGTAAAAGAGCTTTTGTTCTGTTAATTCCCAAAATCCCCAGTCCTTCTTTGCCTAACCACCTTCGTTCTATTTCTATTCTTCCATTTCTTTCTATTTCTTGAGGATTGTGTTCATAAGCAAATTTTCGTATTTATTACTAAACATAACCTATTGGAGCCGTGATAGCTCAGTGTCCAGGCGCTCGCCTTTAATTCAATTTCTGGAGCAACCTGAGTTCGATCCTCGGTGCCAGCATTAATGAAATTGTTAATTTTAAGTGCTGAATTTATCACGTGCTCAGCGGTGTAGGAAAATATCATGAGGAATATTATTATATATTTCGAAGATATGTGAAGTCCGCCAATCCGCATTGGGGCCGCGTGGACTATGCCCTGATACCCTCTGTACGAAGAAGGCCTTTGCCCCGCAGTGGGACACGTATAGGCTGATACTTAACTTTTTTTACCACCACTGCACTTATTAAGGTCATGAATGGGATGACATTTGAAAAGGTAAGGATGAACAAAAGTTCACAAAGGTGAACTTTTCTAATGTTTTCAATACACTTGAACATGACATTCTCAGATCATACCTTAATTTCCTTAAATTTTCTACTCTAACTTTGGACTGGTTTTCGTCTTATCTTCCCGGTCGCCAATAGTCAGTCCGCTAACGATAACGATATTCGAAATTGTTTGTAAGCTGGAAAGGAAACTGGATGCGCCAAGCATTGCTTCCAATGCTAAAAAACATTGTAGATAAAGGATGTCGAGAATTTCGCCGGTGCGAGAATCAACCGCTTAGTGGCTAGACCATCGCGTGAATCCCGAAGACATGGGTTTGGTTCCCATAGCGGCGAGAAAATTTACGTTCCTTTTTTTTCAAATTTTAATGTTAAGTTTTAAGTGCAGAGACTAGCACTAATAAAAAGTTTAAACCTGCCATCTACTTTTCATCATGACAAGGGTTGACTGGTAGAGAATTTTTATTTGGATTTCAGTTATGCTGTTTGCTTGTTGATTTTTGAATTAAAATGTTAGTATCAATAGATATCGTGTTTCCTTAAATGAGCTCTATAAGATTAATTACGGGAAAGTTTTAGATATTCAACACTTATTTTTATTTGTTTTTTTCACGAACCAAAAATTTATCTATTGTTTTAATATAATACGTGTTAAAAGGAAAAAGCCTTTAGAACAAGAAAGAAGAGGGCTATGATTGTAGACACAAGCGAGCTTTAAACACAATATCTACATAGTAGCCAGCTCAGGGGAACGTTTGCAATACAAGAGCCATAATATAATTATCTCGGGTACCAGTTGATGTATGTCGACGAAAATTTAAAGTGGTTGTTATATTAAGTGCTATGGAAAAGTGCGTTTAGCCAGCTTTTAAAACAGCGCCAATTTTACTCCAGAGTAACAATGAATTGATCGGTCGCTTTCAAATGATGCCGGTGATCGACGACCGTCAGGATTATGAGTACGCCCCGAAGATGAAATGGTACGACATGATGATAGGAAATGAAGTCACCGGCCAAGTCCTCATGTCAGTACAAGTATTGCAGGTGAGTCTACCTTCGTGAAAACAATGCGCTACAATATATGGTTTGAATCGGACGTCAACGTTAATTCTGTTTCATATACACACATGTAAACGTTTGCTTAAACCAAGTTTATAAAAACCTTGTTTTGGTGAAGCAACATTCACTTTTATTTGTGTTGATCAAGCGGATTAGATCCTCTTGATCCGGGCTTGTTTGGGAACAAGAGCTAAGATTTGACCTCTTGTATCCTGTATTAACTGGTGTTTGTGCTTTCTGTCCAGAGACTATTAAAGCTTCACCTGACGCAGAATCGGTGGGCCAGCCAGAACCCATGGGTTTAGGCCCTCCGCTATGGGTAGGGCCGCGCATGTTCTCATGCGTGCGTTTGACTATGGTATGTCATCTAAGGGCCATCGAGGTTGCGGTTCAGACCAGGACCCCGATAGCCGTCGACTGTGTTTTTAGCTAATCAGTAGCTGGGGGCGGTGAGAACCGTCCTGGAACGTGGGTGTACGTTGTGTACGCGTTGTGCTGGGGTATCTAATGCGACCGACGGCATGCACAAGGTATCCCTGAGTGCGGAGGGCGGTCTTTGCCTTGTCGACATCCGACTCTTCGGGCCCCTTGATAAGCCGTAGTTTGCATTATTTGGGCAACGAGTAGGTGTGAAAGCCTATCTTAATTTCGCGCAAGTATTTCGCTACCCGGTGGAAGTCGTCAGTAGTTTCTAAGTATACGCTGATACCCATGTGAGTGTTTTTCGACCGGGAGTCGCGAATGTTGTGGCGTTCGAACCTCGAGCAGATCTGGTGCCTCTTAGCCTTGTCCTGAATGGTGACGGGTGGAGGAGGCTTTATTTTTCGCTTGGTGGCGAATTCGGGCACCGTTTGCATAACCGTGGCCGCCTTTTTGGCGGGCGTCGCGGTGGGATGGATCGTTGAGGAGGTTTCGCATTCGGGTACGACGTGCGGAAGGGGACCGAGTTGGGTTGCGCGGAGGGCGCGATGGGCCCAATCGCGGCGGCGAAAGTCGACGTGAAGAGTTCGTATTTTACCCATGGTATATTGTTTCTAAATTTACTGTAAATTAAAAATTACCAAATTTTAGCACATCGATAATAATTATTTCACATAATTTCTCTCCCATAAATTTTTAATAATTTTGTTTTATATTTAAAGCGAAATTATTCTCTTTTATTTAATATAATTAATTTTATCGGTCTTATATTTAATCGGATTTCGAGAATTTAGAGCAACCCTTTTTTACCATAATAGAACATTAAACTAATACAACTTATAGTTAAAATTACATGTAAAATAATAGTCGGTAAACTAACATTTTTCAAGTGTGTTTCACTGAAATTTACTATTTCACTATCACTATAGAGCCCTTCACTGAACATAGCGTTATCCTACAGATTTAAAATGCGGGACAGTAGGTACGTCATTTCCTCCAAATTGATGTTCTTGATATTAAATATCGGTAAATAGGTCAAATTTATAGATTTTAGTTCAGGTAGAGTAATAAGTAAGATACAATTCCGTATTGAAGGTTTTCAGCAATCCCGCTTTGATACATAAACTTCATTGCATCTAGATAAACTACGCAATTTTCGGAGGTGGTTATGATATACGTGCCAAGTAGCATTTGTGTTTTCTCTCTCTCTCTCTTCTTTCTACTAATAGCATTGGATTTTGCGGAATTTCGATGATAAGAATGAATGAAATTATTTGTTTAATGGTACTTCTAATATTACTGATATCTGGGTATCCTTTACATAAACTTTCTCATTGATTACTTATTAGAATTTTAACAACGTTTAAATTTTATACATTCATTTTTAGGATCTATTCTATTTATTTAAATAGATATTTTTATGTGAAATGTTGCCAAACGAGCAGACGGTTCACCTGATGTTAAGTGAATACCGCCGCCCATGGACATCTGCTACACCCGAGGGTTACAGATGCGTTGACAACCTTTTGAAGATTGGGCTCCGGCTACCTCACTCACCAGACGAAACGCGAAAGTATTTGTCAAACTTCCACTTTACGCCGGTCTTCTGTGAGGTCGTGGTACTAACCCGGACGGACCTTCGGACCTTAAATCAGGGAATTCGTGCAGCAGTGAACACTGTTGTGTGGCCCTACCACAGAAGAAATTTTAATATTGTTTTTTATATTGTAAATCGCACCGTGCGTAGAATAACGTTATTTGGTCACATAGAACGAATTTGATTTTATCGTCGGATAGTCTCAATTATTGTCTACGCTTTCAGATAACATTTAAATTTTTTCTTCTGACTTATAGATATTGAGATTCAGAATAGAACAAAGTTCTATCTGATTTGTGCTCCGCAGTACAGACTGTTTTTTTTGTACTGGCTAGACTAACCTTACTAATGTAATAGACGAGTGTAATATACTGTATTAGAGTTAATTGATAATTATTGCACAGTCACCCACTTTTTTATGGATATTTCGTTTAAAGCAATGCTACATGCGTTTATGTCATACATATTTTCTGAGTTTTTAGTAGAACAACGTTATATAAACGTGTATTATGTGATCTTGTGACCCATTAGCGTTTGCCATTTTCCGTTGGAAAACGTCACTATTATACTTGAAACCTCTTATTTCCTAAATTTATATAATTATTCATTCAAAAAGTACACTGTTTGTTTAATACAAACCTCAAAATTGTAATAGCAAATGCTATTTATAAGAAAATTATGACCATTATAAAAAATATATAATTTGAATCGGCCGTCCTGAACAATTACAATTTTGCAGATGTCACGTTGTTCTACGCAGGGTGCGAAATGTGCTCATAAATGTGTCGCACATTTATATAAAACATGTTATGACGATAGAAGCCATTTTCTTTACTATTTCCCGCTTTCATAATTTACTGGATTTTGTTCTATCTGTTAACTAAAATAAAAGTATTTTCATGTAAGGTTTTTGTACTGTTTACAAGATTATCCAAAATTTTAGTTACAGGTGTAATTAAAAATTTCTTTTCATCTGATATATAACTATTGTGTTGATTCGTATTGCTATTATATAAGTTTCCTGAAATGGATTTAATGAGTCAACCAAGGGGCTAATAAGACCTCTCGTGATTCAATGGGAAAGAATTACTTGTTTTGATTAGTTTTGATTTAGTTATATTATTTAAATATTCAACTTCTATTTATATTCTTAAAAAATCTTGAATGTTTGGCCTGTGTTAATTAATTTAATAAATTCTAGGATATCTGTCTATGGTACTTAAGATCTTTTTAAAATCGGCCAAGATAACAACAATAACACTTGAGCCATTTATCTTCACTTTTTTATTCGAGACACCTTCTCGCATAGAAAAGCAAGCGGGCGTCTATTATTTTTATTGTATTTATAGTATTCATACCGAATCCTTTAGGATCCTTTAGGATCTTTAGACTAGATCCCCTCCCCTATATTCTATATTTTCACTTGTTTGTTTATTTCACCTAATTTTTCTCTTTCTCCTGGTTAATTTATTAGTTATATACTGGTACATTGAGTGTACTTTCTGAATTTCTTTAACAGTTATTACGTATAAAACCTATACAATTTACCGTCAAACGCTTTATTATAGCCCGATTAACAATTTAAAACGGATTATTCCTGCTTTTGAAGGGATTGTTATATTATAAGATATTAAGTAGTATGTTGTTATCGATGCTGGATCAATACATTTAGCGAAGCATTATATTTCTATTTATGTTATTGATTCGAAACGTGCAATAATTTGACTCGAGGTTTTTAATTTGGTTTGTACATGACTAAGTCAAAGACGTCTGTCTACTCGTATGGATAAAATACATAGACGTCAATTTTCTCATAAACACATTGTTAATTTATGAACCTGGATCACTGTAAATCTTTTTTGATACGTAATACAAAGAAAAATATTTTATTCGAGCGCGAACTACTTCCGCTGTGGATTTATTGTTTATTTCATGTTTTCTATCGTTAGATACGAGAAACAATGATTTTCTATACTAAAGGGACCAATAAAAATTTCTTGCAACTTGTTCTCTCGTCAGTGTTAGGCTTGGTTAAGGTTTTAATCCTAATTCATTTTCAAAATATTTTTGTTTACATTTAAAAAGGCTACAGTTTCAATAAAAATACTTTTTAGGTATCTTTGGTATAATACCTTCAAAGTTTAATTTTTTTTTGTTTATTATCCATCTTAAGATCTTGAGTTTTGGGGCGTGAGAGGAATCATTACCAATAAACATCACTGTTTCATTATTTCATTGATCATAAATATAGTTAAACGGAGTGATATTGTTTCAACGCCATCTATTGATATAAAGCCGTACTATTACAATCACTCCAAAGTCGTCGGGTCTACATACCTTATGTCGATTTTGTTCTTCTTTTTTTATCATAGATGACGTCTTAACAAATTTTACTAATTGAAAGTTTCATATTGAAATTTTAAAAATTTATTGCTACTTGTATATATTTCAGGTTCCTGAAAAGTTATTGAAAACTACCATATACAGTCCAGTACAAGAAAGTTTTTTTGCATCTGGTGTCAGAGAACTTGAGAACACAGAAGCAGTTGAACCTCTACCACCGACCCTTATTCCAAAATATAGTTCTTATAAGTAAAGTAAAATGATGTGAATTTTATGTTTATTTTTAGTTTTGTACTTATATTAATGACAAATGATATACCAGTCTTCCTTTACTTTATTAGACTGGTTGAGTTAAAAAAAGACATTAAATTAAATGAAAGCTTATTTCGGACTGCCGCCATCGTAGTTAACTGGCAGAAGTAAACTTTCATCTAATCTTTATATTGTATATAATTTGCCAAGGATTTTCTTTGGATTAAAACTTTCACGTCCCATGATGACCATTTTCGACATCATTAGAAACTTCGTCAATTATGATACACTATTGTGCTAAACATTCTGTGTGATACTGTCAGTTGTAATGCACCATTATGCTAAACATCCTGTGGGATATTAATAAACGACGTATTCATAGGGTGGACATATACTGGTGGGGACTGCGGGACCTGAGTGTAACCAGGAAGCCGTGTGTCGTTCTCGAGATCGAGGACTTGACTTTAAAATCGGATATAATAAGTGAGAAGAGGAACAGCTGCAACTTTCCCAACGGTCGCTCTTCGCAAACGTTCGAGGCACCGCTGGACGAGGCGCATTATCCTCCTCTCAGCATCCGACTCTATGACAGCAGCACCTTTGGAAGAACACTGTTCTTTGGCACATACATCGTGAAGAATCCTATGAAATATTACGTTAACTGGTTACCGAAAGACGAAAGGGAGGAGTCATTAAGAAGTGCTTCGATAATGTCCTCCAGCTTTACCGAAGGTAAAAGGACCTAGTATGATCTATATATCGTTCAACAATATATATAGGTCATACGAGCAAGTTTTGTTTCTGCTGAACGTCTTTTTTGCATGAATCCTTTATATTCTGTCAAACAAAGGTATTTTTCCAATTATTCCATGCCGTTCAATTGAAAATTGGAATATTGTGAGTGGTTATATCCAACAAGTTCCATTGAATACCCATTATAATTTTCTTGTTAATTTGTTAGTCGGAATTCCTCACAAAGTACTATGTTTTCTTGTCCTGGCACTAATAGTTGAACTCAATCTGCTCAAGAAGAGAGAATACAGTGAGTTAAAGCAGTTTTTTAATTTATTTCCAATATAATTTGAACGCCGATATGTTTCAGTGAGACAATCTCTTTACATCAAAAAGAGCAACCCGATTATTAAGGAGAGCACGGAGACTATAAGTGACACCGCCATTCCCCTCAAAAGTCAAGTGAAACCAAGAAAATGGCAGAGGTTATTCAGCAGGAGAGAGCCGTCTGAAGAGGAGTACACCCTGCTGCCAATGTTCACAAATAAGGAAGTCAAAACTCCTGTCAAGGAGATACCAAGTCATGAGCCCAAGGATTGGTGGATGAGATATCTGTGCTCACAGAAGGTCGGCTAAATTACTTACGAGCGTCACTCTCTCCACAAACCACTTCTTGCTGTGAACTAATTTCCAAGTTTATTTTTAGGAATGCATAGGTGGAGATAAAATTAATGCTGGAGATAAAATATCCGTACGTGTTTATCTTTACTAAGCATGTTGATAATTAAATAGATAATATGCTACTGGAACTCAACGTTGCAATTATTTAACAGTGATATAATTCTTAATATATTTACCGTCCTTATGATTTAACTGATAACGTGTTTCAGTGAGTAATAGTTTCAATGTTGATAATATCGTGGGCGTAGAAGGAAAACCCGCTAAGTCCAAAATTCGTCATTTGGAGATAAATGGGTTTGAAAATCCAATAAGTCGTGAAAAATCGCAATCACTAGCAATTAAATTTGAGATGTATTTATTGGAAAGACACGAACTTTGAGGAAATCTACACGAAGTGAAAAATACAAAAAAAAAATCATAGGAACAAGAATTGAGTACAAGTTTCATTAAAAAAAAAAACACGAATAGGAACTAAGTTGAGATGGGACGAATTTTGGGATTAAAACTGATTGAGTCGGGGCTCTATCAATCATCTTGTTGATCTCCCTCTTCTTCTTTAGTGTATAATTTTTTAATGGAGACCCGGTACTCTACTGCAGAACCCCCCAAACATTATGTGGACGTAAAGAACGCAATTTTAGCCAAAAATGGACTTAGCGGGTTTTCCTTCTACGCCCATGATATGTACAAGGCTTATATGCATAAATATGTAGACTTCATTTAAAACAGTTTTAAGTACATATCATGGACATGTACCCGTTTTACGACCGTGAACTAATAGCTTTATTTATAATATTATGGTGGTGATGCCAACTGATCTTTGTTTAAAATTGAAACAAATCATACCTAACGGACATTAATAAAATTGTGACAAGTCGCTATTAACTTCATTAGGTTAACGTCGAGTTAATTAGTCAGTTTCCCAGTTACGAAATTTTATCAAATGACCCACTTTAACGAAATTTTACATGTTTTAATATTATCTTAATTTTTCCACGTTTCGAAACAGGTGGTATTTTAAAAAATCCCAACTGCAAAGTTTTAGAATACGTCTCACCTGTCATAAGTTTTAGTAAATTTATGTATTAATTTATATATTACATTATTTATATATTTAATATTATATTTATTCAGCATTCAGTTTTCTCTAGATATTCGAGTCGGAGCTGGAGCTGCAATCAGAGTTCTCCAAGTTTAAAGACTGGTGCTCAACACTCAAACTATACAACGGGAACAAAACTGGTATACCGGAAAAAGACGAACAATTGCACTGCGGATATCTGAAGGCCGGTATTGCCTTGTACAAATGGCCACCGCCCTCTTCAACAATCGCAGTAAGCTCTTACGGAGTCGAATTGAACAGGGGGTAAGTTCAGGTCATGAAATCATAAAATTAATTGCCTGCAATAAAAAAAAATAACGTGAAAAGGTATCATGATTTCTGTGCAAATTTTTCTTTTTTATTTTAATTTTCTTATTCGTGATAGCTTTATTATCGGTCTATTTGCGCAGAATAACCGTTAATCAAAAGTCATTCATTAAATCATTGATTGTGTTGCAAAATAGTACATAGAGTTCAAATAAATACTGCAAAAGTAAATCAGAGAAAAATCCTGTAACTTGTTTTAATTTATATAGGATACCTGAATTTTACTGTTAAATGTCCTGGTTAAATATAAAGCAAAGTCACTCCCGCTGTTTATGCGCTTAGATCTTTTATATTACTCAACAAATTTTAATGCAGTTTACAGCAATAGATAGTGTTTCAAAATGATGGTTTACATGCATATTTTAGTAGAGAAAAGCCGAGAAATTCAAAGATTTGGAATGTGATATAGTAACAAACATTGTGCGCTTAGCTTTTACAAAAGCTGGCTAAAGTTTATGGATGGGTATATGCTTATTTCCTAAAGACAACCTACATAAACCATTTCAGTCTTTTACATATTACAAAAATATGGGTTATGTTTTCCAATCTATTTTAAACAGTACCTACAATATTATTATTCCTTATCCAACGTTGTGCATTTCATGTAGATCAAAATTTTCTTTACTGAGTCCTTAACCTTTGCAGTGTCTTATAATTTTCAACCGACTTTAAAAAAGGAGGAGGTTCTCAATTCGACTATATTTTTTTTTATATCTGTTACCTCAGAACTTTTGACCGACTGAACCGATTTGTATGATTCTTGTATTGTATATGATTTTTGTATGATGTTTGTATTATTTGAAAGCTGGTGCTTCCCATGTGGTCCCATATTAATTTCATTGATATTGGATCTTGGGCTCCCTGAGATACTTAAGGAACTGAGAATCAATTATGAAATGAACACAAAGCGAGATATTTGAAGTCGATTTTGTTTTTCGTTAATAAAAAAATATACTTGTCATCCATTCAATGAATGTGTGCGTAAGGCACGTATGTACAAACTCACTTTTGATATTCGTGGCACGGAGTTCCTGTTATTTACTCGTCCGTATGTTCATCATTGAAAAGTTCGTATCGAAATGAATTGCATTCGAGCCATCTGTCTTCGTTTTCTTTTTCAGATATTTCAACGACCATCCAAGTAACGAACCAACGAAATTTCTAGTGCGCGTGTACTTGGTGAAAGCGTATAATATAACGTCAAAAGATTTTACTGGCAAAAGCAGTCCATACGCCGTACTCAACTGCGGTACTAAGCATTTGGGGGATCGAACTAGCCACACAATGAGGACTCTGAACCCCATCTTTGGAAAGTAAATATAAATCATCAGATCTACCGCTTCCCATTCATCAGAACTTATAATATATATATATATATATATATATATATTATATATTATATATTATATATGTACGTAAATATATATCTATATTAACGATGAACTGATTCTGCTGACAGTTGTTTAAGCATGCGATTATGGGTCGAACGCAGGGTTTTATCGCTTTTAGAAGTAAGGTATTGAAAGTTGGGAGATAGGATGGGGTAGGAGGGGAATAAAAAAAAGAATAAAGAGTGGTTAGTGCTCTTAAAGAACGTCGTTGGCGAATCGGCAACCACTGCAGTTGAGAACGGTATAACGACACATGGTCATATTTACGAAGATTGAAGACGAATCGAATGCAGTTATTCAGAAGTCGGTCGAGTTTTTGAGTTTTACTTTTAAAATTACTTGCATTAAAAATACGCATTGACTTGATATTGTGATCTTACTTTTAGTTGAAATTAACGTTTCATCTTGAGTGCAGTGATAAGTACTAAAAATAAAATTTTATGTTAAAAAAATTATCTTGTTTTATAACAGAATGTATGAATTCAGCTGTACTCTACCCGAAGACTATCTATTGACTGTAGCGCTGTATGATTATGACCAAAACCAACCCGACGAATTAATCGGAAAAACTGACATTGATTTAGAGGACCGCATATACTCCAAGCACAAAGGACGCGTAGGGCTATCTCTCGAATACAACATGTAAGTTTTTTTTTTTGGTTTGCAAAACAAACTTCTAAGGAAAAATATTTTATTTTATTTTAGTTTATTAGGTCTGCTTAACTGAATACAATCTAGCATGATTACAAAAGAAATATACACAGAAAAAATGATTTTATTCTATATATAGCAAACACAGCATACACAATGAAACTCAATATAACATTAGGTACAAAGGTTTATCTACGGGCCACTATTAAATGAGTAAAAACTATTTTTTTTTTGTATGTAAAACTAAATAAAACATTAAACTTAAATCATTAAATTAACGAATAAACTATTTAATACTTTAATGATATTAAAGGAATGAAAAAACCTGGATACTTTCTTTTTTGTAATTTTTTAATTATTATTTCATTGTAACTGTTTGAAAACAGCTATCTCCCATGGAGCTGTTTTGGTATGATTCCATCAAAGTCAAATATGGGCCTATTTTAAGCTGTTAATGAACGTTTAAAAACTACCACCTGTTCACTAAACTAGGCCTGACCAGAGAGGAACCGGCATGAAACTCTGCGGTCTTGTTATGTATTTTTCAACCAACTTTAAAAAAAGAAGGATGTTCTTAATCCGACTGTATTTATAAATGAAACTAATTTTACGGATTTATCGCGTTTATTTTTAATTTTAGTTCCCGACGTTTCGAACCCTTTACAGCGTTCATGGTCACGGGACTGTCCCGTGACCATGAACCGCGGGTCTGTCCCGTGACCATGAACGCTGTAAAGGGTCAGTTTTGTTTTACGTTAGTAAAAATATGGACTTGTTAACGGTTCGAATATACAATATTATATTTCGTTATAATAAAGTTTGTAATTAATAACTAAGTTCAATAGAACTGCGCATTGATCGTTTTTCTATGCAGTGTGGCCTTATCTAGAGCTCGATTCCAGGGTTGGGCCTTACAAATGGCGAGACTGCATCAAACCCTCGGCAATACTTGAAGAATTGTGCCAAAAGAATCACATTCCCGCACCAATTTACCCTGGCTCGTCAACTGTTCTTGTCAATGGTGTAGAGTACAGGGACAACGAAAAAGGTACAGTAATTAATACTAAACGGAAACGTATAGAATAGTTACATGATTATGTATTCTACAATAGACTTATTAACAAAAACCTAAGTCAAAAGAAATAAACACATAAATACGCGAAGTTTTAAGTCTGGATCGTACCCATACATTCAAGTTTAAAAAATGGTTTTAACATTTAGCAAATTAACATACGTTTTGAATTTTTATTGCATTAATTTATACCGTAAGTTTGGAGATTTTAACAAATGTAATTGTCCACAGACAGAGTTTACGGGTCCCCAGTGGAACGTAGGGAAAATATTTGTCTAACGCTTCTGCATAACTGGCATACGCTACCTATTTGCGGATATCATCTTGTTCCGGAACACGTTGAAACTAGAACTCTTTACAATCCTGCGAAACCTGGTACCGAAATGGTAATCAGATTTCATCTTTTAATTATTATTTCACATCTCTAAAATAGGCTCATTGAATCCGAGTTGCGTGTACCAATTAATCTTCTCTCAGGTGTCGTATGAATCCAAATGTATACTCCCAACCCAAATTTACCTCAAGTTTGAACCAATTTGTGTTGAGATCACTAATTGTCATGTATATTTCCATTTTTTGATCTAAATAAGTTGAAACTTAACTGACATAAGAGATGCGCCTTAAATGGGATGGATTATGTACATTTTCAAACAAACAGTTACATAATGCAATAAGCAGAGATGGAATAGAGAGGTAGATAATGTGGACTGATATGATATGTATATCAATGCATGGGCTTGTAAATTTTTAACTAAGACTATTTTTTATTATTCAAGTGGTTAAAACAAAATCTCGACAATATTAATTTATTATTTTTTCTTTAATCCTTGTGTGTTAGAAAAATTGTGGCTTCCTATAAAACGATGAATTTAATTTAATTTCTTATGTGTAAAACTTAAATAAAACTGATTATGAACTTGTATGTTTCTCATCATATCTCAGGAATTGTTCATTACAAAGGCACCAATTCGTCTGGATTTTTCTTCTTCTTTCTAGTTAAGTTATGGTCAATTATATGGTAACTGTAATACAAAATATAAAAATTTAAGTGGTGTACTTAATAAAAATTATAGGGAAAACTACAGATGTGGATTGACATATTTCCCCTTGATGTCGGTTATTTTATCCCGTCTCCTGTCGACATAACTCCACGAAAAATTGAAGAATTCGAACTCAGAGTCATAATTTTGAATGTCAATGATATTAAATTAAATGATGAGGATAATAAAAAATCATCTGATATATATGTAAGAGCGTAAGTATTTAATAACATTGTAAAACTCTAAACGTTACATTAAATTATTCAACTTGAAAAATCTTTAATTTGGAATTGTTTTTAATTCAAAAAAATTGTACGAATTAGGAATTGTTTTTTTAAAAAGATTCCGTTTATTTGTTGGGAAAAAATGAAATTTTATTGTTAATTCTGTACCAGGTGGATCGGTTCTGTTGAACAAGTTCAACATACAGACGTACATTACATTTATCAGGGCGGAGTATGCAATTTCAATTGGTGCATGGTATTTAACTTTCAATATCAACATGCCGAAGGAAAGGTAAAAATTATGAAATACTTACCCAATTTATAACGTTAACGTCCAGAGCGTTCAATTTGAGCCGATCATATTTCTTTAGTTAGTTACAAAGGAAAAGGGGCCGTTTACGGAAGTGGAAGAACGAATACCGCCAGTTTTAATAGTACAGGTTTTGGATGGCGATTCTACAAGCTCCGATGACTTCCTGGGAAATGAATTAGGTGCTGACATTTTTATTATTTTCGTTTAATTTACAAAATCAATAATTCTGTATGAAACTTTTTGATTTACTAAACTAGTAGTCATTTTTAAATCTTGATGGAATTAACTATTTATAATTTAATTTTTTTTCAGTCATTGTAATACATGTAAGAATTTAAATTGGGACAAATTGTGTTTAGAATATGTTCTTTTAATGGTTGACTTTTACGTTGGTAGGTTCCTTACACCTAAATTTGAACTCTATGCCCCGAGGAGTGAACCTCGTCCAAACGTGTACGCTGGATTCAATGGAGAAAACGAAGAAGATAAGTCTATTTGGATTGCGAACGATTCGCTCCTGGTGGCCTTTGAAACTTATAGATAGAAATACAGGAAGTGACATGCCTGCTGTTAGTACAACTATATAATATTCTGAATATAATAAAACTATTAGAATATCAAACTAATAACATATTAAGCAACGCTATAAAACTTTGTGTATATAATTTAAGGAAATACTTTAAAAGAAACAACAGAAGAGATTTGATTAATTATTATTGATTAAAGATTGTTTGCAGGAAAATTATTTTCCTTAAAAATTCTATTAATTTCTATATCCATCAGGGTTCAATTGAATTGGAACTAACGCTTTTGCCTAAAGAAACCGCAATTCTTATGCCCCTTGGTGTCGGGAGACAAATGCCGTGCCCGATTATTCGACCAATGTAAGTTTCACCTGATTATTTTAAATAAGCTGCCATACCGATTTTTTTATTTTTGAAAGGTTTAGTAACAGGTCACAAACGAAAACATACATAGAGAAGTAATTTTTAAAGAACACATGATACACAAATCTGTAACCCACTTATAACTAAACACAGCATTCACTAATCGTAGAGAAAAAATTATTAATTGTAATAATGTCTGAAAAGTAAGACGTAACGCTAAAATAAAAGTTAAAGGTATATAATACGACCGTGAGTAGCACATACATACCCAACTGATTTACCTGTACATGACAAGTAGCAATATGTCGTCGGAAACATGATTTAAAGCCGGGCAGACTACAATTGATAATTTATTGTATATTTTAAAAATCTAGTCCGGTTTTCCTTTCTTTTTAATGAGTGCATCTATGTTTGTTTGCTTTCTAATTTTATTTTTCGGTTCCGTACACAAAGGATAAAACCGGACCCAATTACTAAGACTCCATTGTCTGTCTGACCGTCTGTCACCAGGCTGTATCTCATGAACCCTGATAGTTAGACAGTTGAAATTTTCACAGATGATGTATTTTTGTTGCCGCTATAACAACAAACACTAAAAACGGAATAAAAATATTTAAGAAGGTCTCCCATACAACAGACATAATTGTTTCGCTGTTTTTATAGATAATGCGACACGCCTTAATTAACGCACGCATGAATGCGGCCTTACCCACTGCCATACCCACTGAGGAGGGCTTCAGACCCGTGGGTTCTGGCTAGCCCACCAGTTCTTCGATGAAGCTTTAATAGTCTAAGGACTGAAAGCGTAACATCAGTTATACAAATTATGGATAATTTTCCGGAACCAGTCGTGCCCAAGTCCAAAACGCATTCGGCCGGTTTTCTATATCGATGTAGTTGATAAATAATTTCAAGTCAATAGCCTGTGATTAGATAAAACTAAAAATTAAACATAGCATCAAGCATATAAACACTGCAACATCTCCAGATGTGACAAGTTTATTTTTTCATTGGTTTGAAGTAATAACAAAAATATTGGCACTAGACCAGGAATTATGATAATTCCATTGATAGATATTGCGAAGTAAATAATCTCAATCTAAGCCACGGCACTAATATAATCTCGTATTTGCGATCCCCGGTAACCGCTTACCACATGTCACAATTAGGTACAAAATTTTAGAAATATTGACAAAATTCGATCTTTAAGAGATAAGAGCCGTATGTCCCCTTGAAATTGTATTCAAATGAGCATCGACAATTTTATATTTACAGGTGTCAGACGAAAAAGAAACAAGATAAAAATGCCAAATCTCGCAAGTGCAAACTAAAATGTATTGTATGTTTCACTTGCGTCTTTCTCATTGTCGGAGTAGGCCTTATTTATTTTCTTAATATACCCGAAGCACTTTATGATATGTTGGACTATTGAAACGAGGTAAACTTTAATACTGATTTTATGATTTATTTATTTTAACACTACATCTAGCATTGCTGGAAAAAAATTATCCCATTTCGCTTGAAATTGCAATTTACATAAATTTAATAAATATACATTTCATTTAAACTAATATATAGATTATACATAGTACCCGGAGGACCGAGCTTTGCTCGGTTTGTTTTTTTTTTGCAAATCGTGTATTTATACAACTACAAATACACGATTTACCAAAAAAAAACAATAATCCTCCGGGTAATATATATATATATATATATACAAGAATTGCTCGTTTAAAGGATAAGATATAAAGCGAACAGCTTAGCTCACACAACCTAGTAGTTCATCCTCGCCTTCACCGCGCGGCGAAACCAGCACATGTACACAAGGTTCACCCAAGGTTACTAGTCTGTTACCGGTCGGTTCTCAAAAAGGCATCGGTGTCACGTTCCGTACTGAATCTCAAAAAAATAAATATACAAAAATATTTTTCTTCAATAAAATTTTGCAGTAGAAGCATGATATTCAGCGACACCTGTCGGATTTCACTGATAATGCTTGCATTTTGCTAAGATAAAACAAACTTTATTAAGTCTTAACAGTATGAAACATTCTCGGTCATGTTTAATATTGCTAGATGGCGCTATTTTTTGCTTAATATTTTTGATATTGTCTTCTTGTATTGATTTCAGTGAGAAAAGTCACAAATTGGAGACGAAATATAATTTTTGTAGCTTATTAGTTTACAAACAGTTTATTTATTAGAGGTAGGGCGATTAAGTGCTTTATTAAAAAATGTTTTAGAAAAATTATAATGACATATGTAATTTATTATAACTATATTATAATTAAAATAATAATAATTGATGTTCTATCATTTAACTTGTTTTAATGCTAACTATTAACGCATCTGTATTTTTTTTTTTGGTAAAGAGGAATAATACACAGAAGAGTTCAAATGTATAAGGCAATCTATATCACAAAACTCATGGTACAAGCTAGCAATTCATTGCTTTTTCTAGGCATGCTTTGCGTGCCCGCTACACACTTTCTTATTACTCCTTTATATTTAATAATAAACTAAATGTCTCGTAACAAATTCTTTTATACTACTACTATTCACCATTTAGCAAAAAATTGTTGATAGATGGCGCTGAATACAAATCTCTATTTGTGATAAGATCGAGAAAGTTCTCAGTTCGAACATTTTTTATCTCATGGTATATTTTAAAGAAATTTTTGTACAGTAGTAATCTTAAAGTTGTAATCACTGAAGATTTTTGAAATTGTTGGGAAATTACTAGATGGAAAATTTTAATGAAATTTTGTGTGTATCTTCAAGTCCATCATCATATATATATATAAAATCGTATTAAACATTAGCATTTAAATAACCTAAACACGTTTACAAAGAAGATTATAATTAACAAATTACCGCAACTATTTCGCGTTTGACGAACAATATTAAAACATGACTCCATAGTTTATTAATATTTAAATAATCTTGACTTCAAATAACATTCAGGGATAGTATTAAGATCTATTTTATACATAGATAAGATTTTATACATAGAATTTAAAGCAGTCTGCAATTTTAAATTATACTATCAACCGATTCAATCGATTATTGCGGCTAAACAACATTTTAAATTACTGTGAAACTTAAAAAACTTAAAAAAATTATGAAGCAATTACATGTTCAGCTAAACATATATACAACATCGTATGTATATGTAATAAACGAATAATTTAAATTAAATCGTCTCTTAATATTCGTTATCTCCTAAAATCGATTGTAATATGAAAGAAACTTTACCTTGTCTTGAATGGGCAAACGATAAACTTTAAGATATTTCAAAAATCTTACAAGTTATTTTTAAAATTTTACAAGTGACTTTGATTGACTAAACAACATAATTTAAGTTCTAACAGGAATTAATTAGTAACGTTAAAATATTAAATATATTGGCATCAATGTACATACAACGTTAGAATGTGGAATATTTCATAGTAATTGCAACGTCCTGTAGGCAATAATTATTAAGTAACTTTTAATATTGTGCACGTTCTAATTAACAATGGAATTCCAATAACAATAATGGAATCCACATATCTTGCTCTTGTATCTAGGTTCATGAAACACGGTTTTGCGAATAATGAAAACATTTAAAAGCAATATTTGTCCTATTAATTACATATTGTTTTTCTTAAAATAATATTAGCACGTTGCATGCTAATATTATTTTATGTCATTGCTGTTTTACAACTATTTAAACCTGAATAATGAAATAGTTTTCGCGCAAACTGCCAAAACTTGGTTTTTTTTTGTCGCCATGTTAAATGTATATTTGCGTAGACAACGACACAAATAATTGTCAATATCAGAGATACTTCCGTGTATAACACAAAAACTAAATTTTCCTTGACAACGCGTTTCCCTCGGTGACGAATCACGTTTTGGGGGAAGATATTACAAGTTGGGAAGCAAACGGATGTGAAGCCGGGGCATTGAGCTTGCTACAAGTCGGTTCACATTGAACACATTAGCCGTAGCTATTTTGTGGCCACCGCGAGCATTTCGCCGGTACCAGGAAGCCCGTGAATGTACCACGCATGCCTGTAGAGCGGCCGCGGCCCAACCCGCTTCGCCCATCATTTCACCGCGCGCTATGGCCATAGCAACAGCGGCGAAGCTCGCACCGTGTTGTCGACGCGCGTTCTAAAAACTCTGCTCCGGCGTAGCGATCGTGTGCGGGCCTACTAAAAACTCCGGTAAGTATTTTTAACTGAGATATCTGGATTTTAGAAGGCAACCCGCAACCAACCCAATGCCCTATATTCCCTGATAAGCGCATTCACCGTTTACTAGTTTCTCGCTATTATATTCTATGTTTATTTCTTATGTAATTACATAAAGGTTGGTGTAAATTTTGAAACGGAGCGAAACGCATTAACTACTTATGTTATGTGATATCATCATTCCGCTGTGAGTTTTTTAACCTTTGCCACAAAAAAGGAGATGTGCGAATCAAGATTAATATGAGTGTTAAATAGAATTCGCTCCCAGTATCTTATCTCCCAGACATCTTATCCGAATCGTCTCTTACCATCCAAAAACATGCACATAAAGTAAACGTAAACATTATACATATATTTCTATGGTCATATGCTGTTACTAGTGCATAAATAATAAAAACAGATAAGAAACATCTTAACACAACAAAATGGTCATTTTAAATTGCTAACCTCTACCTGGTACCTCTCTAAACGAGCTGTGAACTGAAGCTAAAAATGTTTTTTTTTTTAAAGAATCTGTCATGAAAATGACAAATTATATAAATTTCTTAATTGTACGTGAAACCCCATCATCTCTAAATGTAAATAAAGTTAGGGTTTTTCTTATCAATAGTGTATGACAAGGATTACGAAATTATATTTTGGTAACAACGTCTTACCTAACCTCGTAAATATTTGAATAATGAATTCATTAACAGTGTGTGTTGAGCATGGTTAACATCAGAAAAATATTATATGGTTTTGTGTGGTAATTAGGCTGAAAAAATAATACATTTTTGGAGCACTGAATTTGCAGTCTACCCTTTCTAGTTTTTTAGTACAGCTACTGAACTACTTTAAAATTATGTGGCGGAATACTTATAACAAATTCATTCTAATTCAGCTTCTATAGCATGTAATATAACAATAGCTATCATTTGGTATGCATCTGGCACAAAATCTTGCTGAATTCGTCTATGCCAAATTCCGATAATACGCGGTATCTACACGTATGGATGAGGGGAAAATAAAGTAATATGACCGTAAAGTCCACGACGTAATTAGATCCTTTGCAGAATGTTCATATATGGAAAGCTTTTATCAATATTTATACTATCGCGACTATATGTATTTTGAAAGTAATAAATTGACGACTTAAAAATTTCTAACGGATGCAGATAATCACCGTCGTGTACGTCTACTTTTTAAGTATAACAGCATTTTTAAGAAGATCTTATTTGAGTATAATAATGGTCGCAACTTTTTCTTCGCATCAGTTCATTGCTCAGTTTTTAGTCCAGATATTTGATGTATGCAGTTGTTACCGTTTTAATATTTACCGTAGCTAAAAATGAACCGGAAACATAACACTACACATTAATGTAGCGACTGAGTGGATATGCGAATATAGGCAAATGTCTGCGAATTTTTGAAAGTTGTAATAAATGTAACTAGCATTTATACTGGTGTCTTGCTTTTTTATACAAATAAAATATGTAAATGCCTTACAAGCTACATGAAAACTTGGTATGGATAGATTGAATACTATATCTATAAAAAAATCGTTCTTCATTTATAATAATAATTTATTATAATGATGACTCCGGGGCGCAGTTGCCAAAGTATTGGCTTGGGCGTCGAGGGTCGTGCGTTCGATTCCCACACGGGACAACAATTTGTGTGAACCACAGATAGTTGTTTCGCATCTGGGTGTTTGCCCATGTGAAAATTATGTTTGTAAAACGTCCTTACAACACATGTTAATGTTATCCTAAAGTAAGAGCAATGTAAAAAAAACAAAAAAAAATTAAAAAAAATTAAATTTATATTAATAAATGAACAGACGGGAGATTACGAGCATGTAATTAAAATTTATAAATACCAACGGCCTTCAAATACAACCACAACTTACCGTGAGCAATGCAAGGGTTGTTTTGGAGATCGAGTGAAAATTACTGTTAATAATATTAGTAACCGCGCCCGTAGCGGTCAATCCATTATTATGTCATCAAAGCTTAGTTTCTCTGCGCATGTCTCCAATGCAGGTAGGACCGATCAAGTTTTTACTTTTCTATATTTTTATATAAAGCATTTTCCCTGGGATAGCTACCACCTATTGCCAGACAGTGATATGTGGCAACATCCTGCCAGATAGCACTACATTTTTCAATTTATAGTAACACAAAGCTGACTTTTATATAGCTTGTTATTGGGGGAACTATCGAGGATGTTTCCTTGTTAGCGAGCTTCGATACTTCTTTAAATCTTGCCAGACAAATTTAAAGTTTATCGTAGTTGCGAAGACGAAGCAATATAAACAAGAAAACGCGGGGGAGATAATGAGTTACCTTATTGCGATGTTATGCTGCGAATCTTTATTTACGCTACTTTTATTTTGAATTGGTTTATTATCAGTGTAGCAGTGTTTTTACTTTGATTTTAGAATTAGAAAAATAGTTTTAGAAAGGAGAAGAAACCATCAGACATTTTACCTCCAGCAACGTCCGATGCATTAATTGGTCATACAAGCATCTTATTCACAATCCATTCCAGATTCCAGGGTCGTTACCAATAACTCAATCTGCTTTATTTCCCAATCAAGACCACTTAAACCTACGTCTCAAGGAAAGTGAAAATAATTAAAAAAAATATAGACACTAATCCTTTGACCAACATGTACATATAATTAATGTTACTATGTACTAAATGTACTAAATGTACATTATAATTAATGTTACTATACGAACATTTTATTGTTTACCAGTATAGTTTTATAATTTCACTTTATGACCTGATCAGATGTCCTATGCCCAACCTAACTCGCCAGATGAAGCAAGAGTACTAACTTCATTCTAGTCTTCTATGACGCCGTGGTACTTACCCAAAGGAGCCTGCCCATTCGTACAATAGAAACTGTTACATGACCTTTTTTTCTTTTTTATTGACATGTCGTAAATGCCTACACATACTGCCATCGCGGCGGCAAGAGCGGGTACTCGCTACAAGTAAATCCCCACGATGTTCCATCCAAGGCACGCATTTACAGGGTCACGGGGTCGCTTTCACATACTTCCGTGACCCTGCCAGTTCTACCCACCTCAGCATCCCCTCCACGGAGACTAACCCCCTCCTCCAAACAAGGCGTACTCGAACTTAAAGCGCGCCTCTTGCATACGAGCACTCAATTGCCCCAATCTCGCTGCCTAGGTGCCAAGAGAATTGGATAAGCTACTGCTAACAAACAGCAAGCGTCCCGGCTCACCACTTTTCGGTCGCAGAGGATAGGGACCTCTAATACTCCATCATCGGTGCCTTCACCGAGAAACGGAGGATGAAGATAGTGGCCAAACTTGCGATATTGCTATCATTATGACTCTTCCTGCGTAAATCCATCAAGGTTACAGAGGACAGGGAGTGGCTGCACCTTTACCAACCTAAAATTGTCCCCCGCACCATCCTCGGTCGCATCCAAACTAGGCTACGATTACTTGGAGCGGCCCTCTCGAGCTGGCCTTAAACCATAGGCTGATCCAGTATGGGTCCCTCTTGGCTTCGCTGTTGGGGATCAAGCCCGCTACTAAGCACCTCCGCTTAACTTAGTGACAATAGCTCCTCTAGCAACAAAAAATTCTTTATTTATATTATAATGTAAGTAGGATGTGAAATTTACATAAGTTACATACTTTATCAGTGTCAGAAGGTTGGCCACGAAACTAAATGTTTAAAAAACAATAAGTCCAAGTTGGACTCGCACATGAAGGGTTCCGAGCCATTATCTATAAAAATAGCAAAAAAAAAACATGTATATTGTATGAGAGCCTCAATTAAATCTTTCTTTATTTTAGTACTGTTTTTAGTATTTATTATAGTTGCATCATCTGTGTTGAAAATTTTCAAATCTTTAACTATCACGGTTCATGAGATACAGCTTGGTGACAGATGGACAGAGTCTTAATAACATGGTCCCATTTTATACTTTGGGTACGGGAAACTCTAAAAATGGATAATTTGATTTGGATAATTGATACTATATATGAAAATAATTAAAAAAATATATGAATAATAATTTATTGAAGGTTTGAAGAAATGTTCTACACTTGTGCTACGTGTTACCTGTAAAACCACTATTATCCAAACTTTATAGTAACTCGTTCTGAACTTAGTTGGAGACATGCGCAGCGAAACTTGCAGCTTTAATAATATAGCGAAGTTTTAACCATCACAGTCTCAATCTATAACACCTTAACAAACTTCAACATGTAAATAAAATTTCAATTTTGATTCTTCATTATTCTATCTTTCAGAAATGTGTACTTGCTCAGTCAACTTAGACGAAGAATATGCTAGGATGAATAAATTTACTAGATATTTTTTACTACGAATATTTCCTATGAAAAAATTATGAAAATATGTGATACAGAGATAAACTTTAATGCATTTCGATGAACTACTATTTTTGCTAGTTTTTATTCGTTTACATTTTGTGACGTTAATGCTTTAAATACGTTTAATTTTAATTACCTTTTATGTTAGTTATAAACAGATAAATCTATTTAACTAGTGTTCATCTCTTCACCAAAATCTTATTATCTTTATTTGGGACGACTAACAATACTTAAATACACGGGGAAATGTGTTACGTTATCATTTCGTCATCGCGGGCGTATTATATAAAGAGAATTTTAAACATTGCTTCTCTCAGTTTAGAGATTGTATTGACAACAAACGCTAAGCTAGCGGAGCTCAATAAAAATATACAAATATTACATATATAGTTACTTTAATTTATTAAGTCAGTACAAAAATGGAAGACAAAGTTGTCAGTGACAAAAGGTCGGAAAAACATAATGGAAGAGATTTAGACGACATCTCAAACAATGAAGTTGATTACGATCAATTGCTGTCTTCAGCCGGAGAATTTGGCAGATATCAGTGGTTTTTATTCTTCTCAACTTTCCCGTTCTACATATTTGGTACATTTTCATA